TCACAAAACAGCTGGTGGTTTCAAACTGCTGACCTGTGCTTAGCAGTCCACTGCTTAACCACTACCAGGGACTTCTTTTTTTAAGTAGCTAATGACATTGAACATCTTTCACATGCTTTCAGGTCACTTGTATATCTTCTTTGGTAAAATGTCTGTTTGGATCCTTTGACTATTTTTCAATTGGATTATTTGTCTCTTTCCTGTTAAATTGTAGGGTTCTTTATATATTCTGGATATTAAACTCTTATCTGTTATATGATTTCCCTCCCCCTCAAAAATTCTCCTACTCTGTTGGCTATGGTTTTACTTTGTTGATAAAGTCCTTTGATGAATATACATTAAAGTTTTTGATGAGATGCCATTTGCCTATTTTTACTTGTGTTGTTTTTCATTTTAAATACGTAAAAATGGCATAGAGGTGGTATTTGCCTTCACAAGAGTGGGGGGTGTGGGGCCGGGGATCAACAGCTCAAGGCTGATTCCTGTGAGATCGGATTGAGGCATGTCTCCACTCTCCACCCTTCTTTCCCAATTCTGACCACAACCATTCCTCTCAAGATGCTCTCTGCTGGTTTGGTAATCCAGGATACAGCAATTCTGCGGTTAGGATAGCTTCTTAGTCATCTCCAGGCACTCATCTCTCTGGTCCTCAGCCTCTCATATAAATAGAAATGCCTGGTGGCCTGTACCTTTTTTGGGAAAGTGTTACAAAGCTTCTTTAGTGATGATAAATGCCAAAAGGTCACTTTAATGTGCAAACCAGCCTCCCTCTAAAAGACCTTACTTAGCTTTATTCATCCTATGGACTGGGAAGTCCACCATTGCGTCTCGTGCTCTCAATTGCTGCCTCTACCACCACTGCCTCTTCAAACAGGAATCTCAGGATCCAAAGGATACACTCTTCTTGTGCCTTACTTAAAAAGAAAAAAAAAAGTTTATTTAGTTATGTATGTATGTATTTATTTATTTATTTTGCCTCTTCATTTTTAATGGTAGTGAGATCCCCCTTAATTACTTCTGAAACCCCCCATTTCTCTTTCTGAGATGGCTTATGTTATACCTATTGAGAGGTGAAAACTGAGACACAGAACAAAGGTGGAATTGAGACAAAGAACGTGAGGTTAAGAGCAGCTTTATTAGGGTAGGGAAAGAGCTCCCAGGAGGGGAAGGGAGAGCGGAGAAAAGGGATGGGAGCATCTTGAGCTCCTGGGCGGGTGCTGAGACCCAATGAGTTAGGTCAGGGAAATCGAATGAGTTAGGTCAGGGAAATCACGCCTGTCAGCGGGGCAGTGGGATATTTGTAGGATTTGGGTCAGGGAAATATGCAAATGAGGTGAAGAGCATTGCTGGTCTTGTGCCAATAAGGAGAAGGGAGGCTTCCTGGTGCTGCAGCTGCAGAATCTGAGACCAGCTTCTTGGAATGTGGGGGAAGATGCTGCACAGTACAGCTCTGGCCTTGAAAGGCTGGGGGAAGGGGCTGCACAGACCAGACTCAGCCCAAACACCTACTAGGATAGCTGAAGAAGATCAAGGATTTCAGCTTCAATATTGATTACAACTCAATGGAAAGAAAACAAAAATCCTCACAACTGGACCAATAGGTAACAAACATCATGATAAACGGAGAAAAGAATGGTGTTGTCAAGGATTTTGTCTTGCTTGGAGACACAGTTAATGCTCATGGAATCAGCAGCGAAGACCTCAAACAACTCACTGTATTGGGCAAATCAGCTGCACAAGATTTCTTTACAGTGTTGAAAAACAAGGAAGTTGCTTAAGGACTAAGATGCACCTGATCCAAGATATAGTATTTTCAATTGCTTCATATGCATGTGAAAGTTAGACATTGAATAAAGAAGACTGAAGAAGAATCAATGCATGAATCATGGTGCTGGTGAATAATACTGAAAGTACCATGGACCGTGGTCAGGAGAGAGCTGTCTTTGGAAAAGGATATCATGGTTGGTAAAGTAGAGGGGCAGCAAAAAATGGAAATGGTCCTCAAGGACATGATTTGACACGGTGGTTGCAACAATGGGCCCAAACATAAGAACAGTTGTGAGGATGATGCAGGACTGGGAGGTATTTCCTTCTGTTACTATGAGTTGGAACCGACTTGATGGCACCTAACAACAACAGCATATCAAAATTGACCAATTTCCTAAGAAGAGTCTCATACATCTTATTTGCATGTTTCCCCTCAGTCATTTGGTGGGGGTTACAAAGATTATGGGTAGAAAAACATACCAAATAAATAGAGGAAAGAGCTGGGAGG